TTCCTCATATTAAAAAGAGGGCAAACTGATCCGACATGTGTTCTTCCTTGCGTCTCTCCTGTTGTGAGTAGACACTGCAGAGGTGACTACTTCTGATGTCACCCATCTTCATGGTCCTTTAGTCCTGCATCCGCTACCCTGGGAAAGGAAACCTGGAGAGTCATAAGAACATAAGAACATAAGAGACGGCAATGTTGGATCAGGCCAAAGACCCATCCAGGCCAACACTCTGTGTCACACAGTGGCCAAAAACACCAGGTGCCCCCAGGAGGTCCAGCAGTGGGGCCAGGGCACTAGAAGCCCTCCCACTGTTGAGCCCCCCAAGCACCAAGATGACAGAGCATCACTTGCCCCAGAGCCCCTATCTATACCTTGTGGCTAATAGCCACTGATGGACCTCTGCTCCACATGCTTATCTAATTCCCTTTTGAAGCCGGCCATGCTTGTAGCCGCCACCACTTTCTGTGGCAGTGAATTCCAAGTGTTAATCACTCTTTGGGTGAAGAAGTACTTCTTTTTATCCGTTCTAATCCGACCGCTCAGTAATTTCATGGAGTGCCCACAAGGAGTTCTTGTATTGTGAGAAAGGGAGAAAAGTACCTCTTCTGAGAAGTCATGGCTTCTCAGAATGTCTGAGTACACAGAGTGCAAAAGATAGCAGTTGAGGGTCTTTGGGAGTCCCTCAGCTATCGTGTTTCCATTTCACCTACGGACTTTTGCCTACTCCCTTGCAGGCAGCTGAATGTGCAGGCAAGCTCTTCATATTTCACACATCACTGCCCATCGCAGAGGCTCCAGGGAAGCTGAAGAACAGAGATGACAAGAAACTGATCAACACAGATAAAGAAAAGGTAATGGATTGCTTTCATTTTTCTTTAAGGGAAGAAGAGATATTTGAGGAGGAGTGGAGTGTGGCAGGAGTTGCCTAGTCAAGTATAGATCCTTGTTTCTGCTTTAACCCCTTCCTCCCTCTCCTCTGTCCATTTGGAACATCTGCCACTTTCCGCCTTTATCCTCCCCAAATACCTTGTTTTCCTTTTATTTATTTGTTTATTTATTTGGATTTCTATCCCGCCCTCCCCTTAACGGGCTCAGAGCGGGTTTCGACAGTATAAAATACAATACAAGTAAAACCACATTAAAACACAATATAAAATAACATTGTTCATATGTACCACACAGCTCTAGTAAATCCCGCAGGGCCCTGATCTCACACGGGAGCTCATTCTGCCAGCCATGGGCAGACAAGTTTTCAATAGCTGATCAGCATTCTTGGCACCATAGCTGGCACCAGAGGAGCATCCCGGTATGAAGTTCTGTGCTGGTTATGCCACCTGTTGCAATACCAGGATAAAGGGAAACAACGTGTGGTCTGGAAGGGGCAGGGGGCCGATGTTTGAATGAGGCGGGTCCTGAGGAGGAGAGGTGGGAAGAGGTGCTCCCGTAGGGAGACACAAGTTGATGGGGCTGGGCTCCTAGAATGAATGGTGGGATTTAAACAATCTGCACTCCTTATCTGCAGTTCCGTTCAGAGATCTGTTAAGAGCTAACGCATATAAGCCAGGAAGAATAAAATAAAACCAATGTGCAGCAATTAATATAGCCAACAACGTAAAAATGCACTTGTCTGTTAAAAGACAAATAAGAAGGGCTTTGCTCGGAAGGGACAGGCCTAAGAGAGAAAGCAGCAGTTTGGGTCTCTTTGAGGAGGGAGTTCCAGAAGGCAGAGGAGGCTCCAGGGAGGTTGAAGAAGAAGAAGAAAAGAGAAGAGAAGAGATTGGATTTATACCCCACCCTTCACTACTCAAAGGAGTCTCAGAGCGGCTGACAAACTCCTTTCCCTTCCCCTCCCCACAACAGACACCCTGTGAGGTCAGTGGGGCTGAGAGAGCTCTTGACAGAAACTGCTCTTTTTCAAGGACAGCTGTGCCAGAGCTTGTGACTGACCCAAGGTCACATCAGCAGGTGCAAGTGGAGGAGTGGGGAATCAAACCCGGTTCTCCCAGATTAGAGTCTGCACACTTAACCACTACACCAAACTGGCTCTCTTTCTCTGGTTGCAGCCCAGCTGGAGAAGAGCCTTATTAGGCACTCTTAGATTGGTGGGCATCTTTGCATGGGAAGAAGAGGCTCTCTGGGAGCCGTGGCCTCAAGCCAGTTCAGACAAGTGCATGCCAATGATGGGTGTTTGACACTGGTAAGATAGGCTTCACCTGGAAAATCTCAATTGTTCATCGAGCAGCTTCAATAGCCTTCAAAACCAGCCCCTTCAAGGGGATGCAGAATGATTGTCTCTTGAGACTCCTTTGGGTAGTGAAGGGTGGGGTATAAATCCAATCTCCTCTTCTTCTTCTTTTTCTTTGTGCAATTTTTGCACCTCCTTTAAAGCCTTTCTACATCTGGTCACTAATGTACGGTGCATTGCTTGTGAAGAGACAGTTAGCCAAGATCCTGGCTTTTCTTGCAGCAAGATGTACCTTTGGACTTTCCAGTTCCCATACTGAGCACAGAACATCTGCGCAAGCGCCTAACCAGATCGCCACAGTGTTGACCCTTCCTGTATTCCCCCGTACTTTTCAACCTGTGGAGATCTGGTTATCTGCCCAGAATACCAGTTTGGTCTGGTTTGACAGAGGGAAAAGCAGGAATTGAGCAGTTCTGCCCTCTCTCCCTCACCTGTTACAATTTCACTTTCCTGTCCCTGTAATGGGCCTACCATGTCCTTGCTCTTTTTCTTACTTTAAACATAAGAAAACCCTTTTTTGTTGTTTTTAGCATCTCTCGCTAGCCTCATACTGAGCTTTCGCTTTCCTGACTCTCTACAAGCACTGGTGATTTGTTTATATTCGTCCTTAGTTATAAGACCCTCCTTCCACTTTCTAAATGAGTCTTTTTTATTTCTCAAGTCTTTAGAAAGCTGTTTCTGGAGCCACCTTGGCTTCTTTAGGCTCTTCCCATTTTTCCTTCTCCTAGGAATCGTTTGTGGTTGTGCCTTCAGTATTTCGCTTTTAGGAAACTCCCATCCCTCTTGAACTCCCTTCTCCTGAAGTATTTTTGACCGTGGGATTCTACCCAGCATAACTTTAAGTTGGTCAAAATTTGCTTTCCTGAAGTCCAACCTATGTGTCTGACTATATACAGCTTTCATCTTCCCCAAGACTGTAAATTCGAAAATTACATGGTCACTACTACTCAGGGTGCCCACTACTTTCACCTCGTCAACCAGTTCTTCCCTGAAGATTCCCTTGTTTCCCTCTCTACTTTCTGGAAAATGAAGTTGTCAGCAAGACAAGTCAGGAATTTATTGGACTTCTTGTTTTTAGCAGAGTTGGACTTCCAACACCTATCTGGGTAACCATCTCCCGATAGAAGAGCTTCATCTCAAAAGCATAAGCCGTGGTCCAAAAATCCAAACTTTTCTTGATGATACCATTTACATAACCAGTCATTTACTTGCAGTATTCTTCTTTCCCTTCCTAAGCCACGGACTTCCAACAGGCAGAACTGATGAAAACACAACCTGCACTCCCAGGTCCTTCATCTTCTTATCAAGAGCTCTTTTAATACCTTAATACCTTCTGGGCTGTGCCGGATGGTATCATTTGTTCACATGTGGATGAGCAAGAAAAGATAATAATCCGTGGGCTTGATGAGTCTTCGTACCCTTTCCGTCACATCCTGGATGCGTGCACCCAGTAGACAGCATACCTCTCGAGACGACAAGTCTGGTCAGCACACTTTAGCTTCTACCCTTCTCAGTAGGGAATCCCCAGTTACCAGCACACACCTTCTCCTATATTGGAGAGCAGAAGCTCGAGCTCTCTCATCCACAGGGGTCTGAGAAATTTTCTTCAAGCTTCGTGGAGGCTGCGGGAGGAGCCCTTCTTCCAGTGCCAGTCCACTGCTCCTTTTACAAATTAATATGTTGCTGAATCCAAGTTTTGTTCATCTGTGGCACGAAGCTGTTCAGGGTGGTGAGAACCAGTGAGGATTGTGAGGCACTCCAAAGGGATCTGTCAAGGATGGGCAAGTGGGCGTCAACGTGGCAAATGGGGTTCAATGTGACCAAGTGCAAGGTGATGCACATTGGAGCCAAAAATCCTAAATATAAATACACGTTGATGGGGTCTGAACTGGCAGAGACTGATCAAGAGAGAGATCTTGGAGTTGTAGTAGATAACTCACTGAAAATATTGAGAAAGTGTGCAACTGCAATAAAAAAGGCCAACGCTATGCTTGGGATTATTAGGAAGGGAACTGAAAACTAATCACCCAGTATCATAATGCCCCTGTATAAATCAATTGTGTGACCTCATTTTGAGCACTGTGTACAGTTCTGGTCACCACACCTCAAAAAGGATATTATAACATTTGAAAAAGTGCAGAAAAGGGCTACTAGAATGATAAAAGGGTTGGAACACTTTCCCTATGAAGAAAGGTTAAAGTGCTTGGGGCTCTTTAGCTTGGAGAAACGACGGCTGAGGGGTGACATGATTGAGGTTTATAAGATTATGCGTGGGATAGAGCAGGTAGAGAAGGAAGTACTTCTTCACCAAAAGAGTGATTAACACGTGGAATTCACTGCCACAGGAGGTGGTGGCGGCTACAAGCATGGACGGCTTCAAGAGGGAATGAAACATCTGGAGCAGAGTTTCATCAGTGGCTATTAGCCACAAAGTATAGATAGGAGCTCTTGGTTTGGGGCAAGTGATGCTCTGTATTCTTGGTGCCTGGGGGCGGCAGGGAGGCAACAGTGGGAGGGCTTCTAGTGTCCTGGTCCCACTGCTGGACCTCCCGATGGCACCTGGTATTTTTGGCCACTGTGTGACAAAGTGTTGGACTGGATGGGTCCTTGGCCTGATCTAACATTGGCTTCCTTTATGTTCTTATGTTCTTATCACATACACTCACGGGTCAACCTTTAAGCATGGTAATCAATAGTGAAACATTTTAATGCCCTAAAAATACAAACAGATGCTATTTCCGCCGTTCATCATGTGGTGCTGATGGGGAGTGGCTTAAAGGGATCCTCAGCACCGCGTGCTGCACTTGCTGCAGCCTGCTCTTCTCCCTGTAAGGACCTGCTCCTGGGAGTCAGGGAGCCACGGGGACACCTGTGAGGGTTTGCAGAAGGGGGGAACTGGGACTCTCTCGTCAGCGGAAGGGCCACTCACCAAAGGAGCCTGAAGCCCCTTTTTTCTTCTTTCCTCACATTGGCATGTTCTCTATTTTTTGGCCCCGTTGTCCTTTCTGATGTCTTTGCTTTCCTTTTTTTGTTGTCCCTAGACCCTGTTCCAGCCTCAGACCAGCTTCTACAGCAACTTAGCCAAGGAATGTGTCGCTCAAGGGTGCTGTGTGGATCTGTTCCTTTTCCCAAACCAGTACTTGGATGTGGCGACCTTGGGAGTCGTTCCTTATCAGACCGGGGGCTCTGTCTATAAATACGCCTACTTCCAGGTATGGTGCGTCTGGCTTGACAGGGCCTGCTCTCTCTGTTGGCTGAGTTGGCCGTGGCTGCTGTGCTGGCTTCACAGGGCAGGAGACAGATCACTGCCTTCCCTTGGCCATTGTGGGTTGGTATGCGGAGTAGGCTGGCTTTTTAGCTTGGGAACTCGTCCGGCAGTGTTGTCCGGCTCACGAGGCCTGCTCGATCCCTTCTCAGGTACCAAACCAATGCGGTTCAACAGTTTGCATGATGCGTAAGTAAAAAGGCATAGAAAACGTAGCAATTCTTCAGTGAATGCCCTTTCAGATGACGGTATTTGCCTTGTCCAGGTGAATTCTGCCGTCTGCATTACAGTCCAGTTGTAAGGCCCCCCACTTGTCACCACTGTGGCTGGCATCCCAGTAGATGCGAAGAGAACAGGGGAAACCACAAAACCAGCCCTGCCTGCCTGTTTGTTTCCGGGCGCAATTCAAAGTGCTAGTTCTTGTTGCCGCTGCCTTCAGAGGTGATGCAGGTGCCTCCAGGTCCAGGGCGTTTTCAGTAGTAGCACCTGGCCAGTGGGATGCCTGGAGGCTCTTGTGGCCCTTGCATTGGCTTTCTTTTAGGCACCAGGCAAACACAGTGCTCTTCAACCGGGCTTTTTATTAAGAGATTGGTTTTTTAATTAATTAATTGATTGATCGATTGATTAATTGTTCCAACGTTTACCCCTCCCTCCCCGCCGAAGCAGGCTCAGGATGACTTCCTCCAACTCCCGTTGCAGCTGCCGCCTCTCCCGATCCGCCACCTCCATTCTATGGGCCAGTTCCAGTCCCTCATCCGGGGATACGCGCCCACTCCTCGCCTTCGATCTGTCCGTCACCCATGCTCCCGGCGGTGGTTCTAAGGGGGCCCCGTAGGGGGGGAAACCTCCAGCTGAGGCAAACCCCACGTCAAACCTGCTGTCTCTCCGGGGCCCCTGCGTAACCATAAAGGTCTCTGCCGTGGAGTCCGGGTTGAATTGGCTCCACCTGGAGCTTGGTTGGTAACCCTGGCCGGCCGGCTGCCGCGGGCCCGAAGGGGTCAGGAACAAATGGGTTGATGTCGTCTTTGGGACTACTCCCTTCCCAGCGGCAGTCACCGGAGGTGAAGTGGTCACTGGTGCCTTCGCCTGGGTCGTGGGAGTCTCCCCTCCGGACGTGGTTGGGACCGGAATCTCCTCCTCGGAGGGAACCTGTTTCTCCTCTTCAGAGGGAACCTGTTTCTCCTCGTCATCGCTCATCTCGGATAGAGAGAGGTGCACAGATAGAGAATGAGGGATTCCTAACAGAATGTCAGAACCCACAGCCAACAACTGAGTACATGCTTATCAGAAAGGTTATACTTTATTGAAGAGCTATAGATGCATTAACAAAATCACTGTTAGGAATGGCGTCACCCCTACAAGCATAATGGGATATAGGGTATTCGTATGCACCCCACCCCACCCTCCTTAGGCCAATTAGCCACATTCCCGCGTGCGGGAGAAGGAGCCCCAGGCTGTTGGAGCCGAAGCTTGAGAACCGAAAGCGCTCCCACGGTAACCTGAATCCCAGACACTACACACCACCTGCAAGGCCGTAGATAAGCAAGCGTTACAGAAGCACAGAAGGAATGCAGCAGTACTTGGTGCACAGGGCAAGCAAGCACCCCACCCCCAATCCTTATGGCAGCATAGCTGACAAATATCAACTATAGCATCGTACCAAGCTGTTAAGTTAGACTAGCACTCCACGAATATAATGCTCTACCATCTTTACTGCAAATAACGGCTGGTTCCCGGCTGGGAACTTGGCTTAGCCTAATTGATTCAAAGCTCACAATATTAAACCTGAACCTAAATCCCTGGGATTCACTGGAAAAAATCGGTTAACTGTACAAAAATGATTATTTAAAAAAGATTGGGCTATGCTAAAATTCAGAGCTGATCGGAAATGCCCCCTTATTCCATTTATCTTATCAGAAAGTTTTTGAACTGTTTAAATCAGGGGTGTCAAAGATCTGGCCCGCAGGTCTGCAATCTGGCCCAAGAGCCGCTGACTCTGTGCTGCTTCCTGCTTCCTCTTTCTAACATTGCAGCTCCGTCTGGCTAGTCTCTCCTAGTTCCTGCTTCAGAGGAGAGAAAGAAAGCCTTCCCTCGATTGGCTGAGGGCTCCTCCCCCCTCCTCTAGGGAGGGAGGGGGAGGAAAAGAAATGGGGGGGGGATGGTGTGGGATTTTTAAGAAGACCAGCAACGTTTTATTCCAGGTATAAGTGTATTTTTTCTTCAGCAAGAGGGGGGGAGGGATCCAGAGGGAGCACACAAGAAAAATAGAGAGGTAGAGTGAGTGCTGTGTTTAAGACCAAAAAACATTTGATTCCAAGAATCGGGGAGGGGGAATCCTATGTTTAAGACCAAAAAAATTGTTTTATTCCAGGTATTTCCTGTGTTTAAGACCAAAAAACATTTTATTCCAGGTATTTCCTGTGATTAAGACCAAAAAACGTTTTATTCTAGGGATGGAGGGGGAAGTGAGAGAGAGAGAGTTTATTGTGGGGGGGGGAACAGCTTGAGTCTCAATGAAGAGCAGTGGTGAATCTCTGCCTTATGAGTGCAGTTCTGGGGGGTGGGGACAGATTAATGGAATTGCCAGTTCTCTCAGTCTAGCTGGGCTCCTGTGCCTTTGACAGCTGAGCCGACAGACAGAAGAGTGGCAGGCAGATGTTCCCTATCAGTGCATGCCCCTGACAGGTGGAGCTTCACTAGTCAAGCTGTTGAGCAGCTTGCTGTGGTTGGTGCAGGAGCTCTGGTACATCAAGAAAGTTGGCGCCCCTCTGTAGGACAGGAAGGTGTCATTGCAGCTGTTAATTTTGCAGTCGGGATTGTTCATGATCTGCTCTGTGAGCAGGGGCACTCCTGTCCTCTACCCCTGCTTGAAGGACTGTTTGGAAGGAATCAGACTAGTGCAGCGGTGAAGGATGTTTGTCCAGCTGCTGCTTAAAGACTGCCAGGGAGGGGGGAGCTCACCACCTCTCCAGGCAGCTGATTCCACTGTGGCACAACTCTTCCTGTAAAAAAAGTTTCCCCTGATATCCAACCGATACTTTCCCACCCTTAATTTAAACCCATTATTGCCAGTCCTCTCCTCTGCTGCCAACAGGAACAGCTCCCTGCCCTCCTCTAAGGGACAGCCCTTCAAAGACTTCAAGAGAGCCGTCCTGTCCCCCCTCAACCTCCTCTTCTCCAGACTGAACATTCCCAAGTCCCTCAGCCTTTCCTCATAGGTTGTAGAACCAGCCAGAAATGTAGAAACAGAACTGAAGCAAAGCATCAGTGTTAAAATTACACCTTAAACGATGCAAAAATTACATAGTAGAATCCTGTAGAGGATTTTGTTGTTCAGTCGCACAGTCGAGTCCGACTCTTCGCGACCCCATGGACCAGATCCCGCCAGGCCCTCCTGTCTTCCGCCGTCCTCTGAAGTTGGCTCCATTTAATGTTCGTTGCATCTATGACACTGTCTGACCATCTCATCCTTTGCCGTCCCCGTCTTCTTTGACCTTCAATCTTTCCCAGCATCAGGGTCTTCTTCTCCAGTGAGTGCTCCCTTCTCATTTGGTGTCCAGAGGTAGAGGATTAACTTACTGTATTAACTTACTGTAAAATGTCTGGCTGTCTGCTCTGATGTAGCCAGTGGCTTTCTATCATTTATGCCCAATACAAGAATCTTTGTTCTATATGTGATTAGCGGTTAGAAGGCTAAAGAAGAACTGCTTTTGAAGAAGCGGATTGCAGCGTATGACACAGATAATAGGGTTGCTTTAAATCTGTGAGTGTGTATTTGCATGATTTGTGTATTTAATTGAACCTGGTAACAAATGGGGGGAGGCCGGGCACTTCTCTGAGACACTCCCCAATATTTGATGCACGCCCGGCATCCAGCTCCACGATGGCTGTGTGCAAAAACCTGCCTTTGGCTGTGTCTCTTACTAGGTGGAGACCGACCAGGAGCGCTTCTTGAATGACTTGCACAGAGATGTTCAGAAAGAAGTGGGCTTTGACGCTGTGATGAGAGTGCGCACAAGCACTGGTAAGTCCTTTGGAAGGGGTGATTCGTGCGTGGCGGGAGAGAGCACCCCCAAGATCCTACCGTTCCATTCACGGGTGAACCTTTGGCTGGTGCACCTCATGTATTGGTGGAAGGCTGCTTGCATCAGCAGAAGGCTCCCCCGTTAGCCGCACGTAAGAGCAGACTCCAACCCATCGTCCCAGAATGGCTGAGGTTTGGCTCCAACTTGTTCATCCGTTGCTGGTGTCCTCCGGGGCTGGAGTGTCCCAAAGGGGTTCCCCTTAAGTCTCCTCCTGCCTTCCAGGTATCCGGGCGACAGACTTCTTTGGCGCGTTCTATATGAGCAACACCACAGATGTGGAACTTGCAGGCCTCGACTGCGACAAAACCATCACAGTGGAATTCAAGCATGACGATAAGCTCAGTGAGGACAGCGGAGCTCTTCTTCAGGTAAGGCAGCGGGCATTTTGAGGGACTCAGGGGCGGGAGGGGTCGTTAGGGACAATGCTCCCTCTAAGCTGTGGGGTCTCGTGAGCAAAAATCCTACGTTTTGAGCTACTGGCATTAAAGTTGTGAACGAGTGATTGGCTACTGCATAAATTAGTTTGCTCTGGAGTAGAGATGTGAAGGCCCAGAAAAAACCCAGAAAAATTAGGAAAAAAAACTGTTTTTCCCCCGTTTTTTTCCTGAAGCTTTTTTGTTTTTTTCCGAAAAATTGGAAAAAGAAAAGGAAAAAAATTGATTACAGAACGTTTTATTTTAACATGATGAATAAAATATTTTAAGACAAGGTGTTCAAATATTTTCCAAATCATTTCTAAAAAAAAATATATATATGGTATCAGATTGATCTAATTTCTCTGCACTGCGGACAAGAAAGTCCTAGGTTACAAACTGAACTCTCCAATGCAAGAACAAGATGCATTTCTTCCTTTAGGAGGTACTATTTTCACAAGAAAAGAAAAAGGTTTCGGTTTTGTGTTTGCATGTGGGTGGGTATTCTGTTTGTAATAATTGTTTGGATACACTATATTTTTAATATGCTAGTTGTGATAATTTTATGCCAAGTAAAAATGTCCATAGTCATATTTTATGTTCCTAAAGTAACAGAATGATTTTCAATCTAGAAAAGACAAAAGAAATGCTAATGTAGCATTTTTTTCAATTTTTCCGAAAACTTCCATTTTTTTCCGGGGGGGGTGGGGTGGGTGGGCGGGAAAAAAAAACGGGGTTTTTCCCGAGCTTCAAAATTTCCAGAAATACATCTCTACTCTGGAGCCATCTTTCCCGAGCTAAGACAAAAATGTGTGAACCAGAGGCTAAAAAACTGTGAGCTAGCTCACCCTAACTCAACTTAGAGGGAACACTCGTTAGGAATGCATTTCTTCCTTCCGCTCATTCTTAAAATTAAAGCCTTTCTAACCCCAGAATGTTTGTTTTTACTGGAGGATTTATAATCTGGTTTTAAACTCAAGGCAGAGAACAATACTAAACGTCTGTGTGTTGGGGGGGGGATCCAAGGAATATGCAAGCTGAATTAGTGACAGGGAGAATGCAGACCAAATTGAACTTCATTATGCTTGGAGGTTAAATGCTTTTTAGAAATGAAGAATCTAAATAGCTGTTCAAACTGGCAAGGCTTTGCGTTCTGGAAGATCTCAAGTGGTAACAAATTCCATTGCTCTGTGCTGTTTTGACCATGCAAGGATTTGAGGGTCGTTGCCGCATCAGAGCAGATAGGAACCATCACCTGAGCTGTTTGTTCTGCAGCCTGACTCTAATAGCTGTGCTTCTAAACCCCTCTTCTGCAGTGTGCTGTGTTGTACACAAGCTGTGCGGGACAGAGGCGACTCCGCATTCACAACCTCTCCTTGAACTGCTGCACGCAGCTGGCTGATCTTTATAGGAACTGTGAGACGGACACTCTTATCAACTTCTTGGCCAAATTTGGTAAGGGAATATTTTTCAGCAGTTTCATGAGTTGGGGTACCTGACCCCCTCACTGGAGGGGCACAGGGCTCCTGGGAAGGAGCAATTAGTAGGGTTCCCTCCCTGCCGGGGAGTTGGCATGAACTGAACGGGAGTCTTGTCTTTCCTGCACGCATTGCACTGTGGCTGGTGGACTTTCACGCAGGAGTCCAGTGGGGCTTGGCTGCCAAGTGTAGCCCTCATTACACCAGGCTTGTCCACACGCTGACTTCTGCACGTGGCCCTGGCAGAGACATGCTTTCCCACACGGACTTCCAGCTGCTTCAGCCTCCGGCAATTTGGCTCTGCCACTAATACCATATATAGGCTTTATCATTGCCCACGCTGCAGGAAAGTTCACGTTTGTTTGTGCTGAAATGGCGCTAACAGCTCTATTCAGTTAATGGCAATTTCTGTATTGAACCATATGAATGTGGTCTAGGTGAACTTGGTGCCCGGTGCTTCCAGTTAGATCAGAGCAGTGGTCCGTCTAGTCCAGCATCATGATTCACACAGCAGCCAACCAGTTGCCTTAGAGGGCTAACAAACAGGGCAAAGAGACCAAGGCCTTCCCCTAATACTGCCTCCCAGCACTGATATTCAGAAATTTGCTTCTCTGGCTCCCTTTTCTGATTCCCTTTAGTCATCATGGCTAATAGCTACTTAGGGAACTCTCCTGCATGAATCTGTCCGACCCTCGTTCAAAGCTATCTGTGAATCTGTCCTGAATCTGTTGCTCATAAGATTCATCCGTTGTCCTTCAGTTTTAAGATTTACAGGAGAGGGAGAAGATCTCCCAGTCTGCATTCTGCACCACACGTGCAGTTGTACAAGTCAACTATAAGGTTGCTTTTCTTCCAGCGTAACACCAGTAGAGCACGTGTTGTGTGTACAGAAAATCTCAGGCTCAGTCCCTGGCGTCCTCAATGAAAGGACTCTGGTAGCAGGATCTGTGGGGGGAACTCCTGCACAGCAAATGGGCCTGGTGTGCCGAGCTAAATGGCCCGGCAGCTATGCATGAAGCAGCCACAGACGTTCCTGTCACCAGAGGCGTCCAGGGATTTTTATCACGATTCCTTCATCGGCTGCCTTGATCTCGCTGCTGAGTGGGCTTTTCATGTCAAGATGTACTTCGCTTTCTAACAAATCCTCCCCTCCCCCTTTTCCTGCAGCGTATCGTGGACTTCTGAACAATCCAGTTAAGGCTGTGAGAGACACGCTGATCAATCAATGTGCCCAGATCCTGGCGTGCTACCGGAAAAATTGTGCTAGCCCCTCTTCTGCTGGACAGGTAGAGTGGCTTTGACTTGGTCAGACCCGAGAGCACCTGGAACACCTTCCAGGTTAAATGTCATGTGCTAAAGTAGGAGGTAGCTGCCGGGTTCTTTCTCCGAAAGTCCCTGTAAGTTGTCCTGCAAGCATTATCTGAGTGATCACTTGGCCAGCATAGGTCTTAATTGGGGGAGCACAAAGATCCTGTCATTCAGAATAGCTTGTAGAAAGTTTCCCTTGCTCGAATGCTTATTGAATCCGACTCTAGGGGGCGGTGCTCATCTCCGTTTCAAAGCCGAAGAGCCAGCGCTGTCCGAAGATGTTTCCGTGGTCATGTGGCCAGCATGACTAAACGCCGAGGTGCACGGAATGCTGTTGCCTTCCCGCTGAAGTGGTACCTGTTTATCTACTTGCAATTTCTTGCTTTCGAACTGCTAGGTTGGCAGGAGCTGGGGCCAGAGACGGGAGCTCACTCTGTCACACGGCACCCGGGTCTTGAACCACCGAACTACAGACCTTCTGGTCTGCAGCTCAGCACCTTAACCTCTGAGCCACCACGGCCCCGAGGTAAACTTGTTGCTGACTTCTTATCCCTTCAGGGCAGACATTTGGTTAAATGAATCCCTCGTTATTTGAATCTAGGAACCTTTTTTGTTTGAAAGCCATCCATAGCCCATTAATGCTTCTTTGCCCTCTTAAAACCATAGCTTTGGTTTTAATCGTAATTGGCTTTCAGAAAATTTTCCTGGCAAAAAGCCCCAAATCTTTTAATGGGTGTCTGAGTCCTACATGCACGAGGGTCATAGAATCATAGAATCACACAGAGTTGGAAGGGGGGCCTACAGGCCATCTAGTCGAACCCCCTTCTCAGTGCAACCGAGAGCATCCTTGACAAGGGTTTGTCCAGCCGCTGCTTAAAGACTGCCAGGGAGGGAGAGGCTCACCACCTCCCCAGACAGCTGAACTGTCTCAACAGCCTTCTAAGAACATATTGAGAATGGGAAATCGCCAGTGTGTCATCCACATAGACCAAAATGGAAATTGTCTTTCCACTCTCCCCCCATATTAGTTGTTCATGGAAAGAGCCAGTCCGCATACAATGGTAGTCATAGTCATACATTTCTGTGACATCGCATACGCCCAGCCACAAATGCCCAGAGCAGAAGACACAAATGCCACACGATGCCCTCAGTTGTGTGGAGGACTGTGGGGCATGCAGCAGGAGCCCTCCATCTGTGTTCCAGGGATCTCTGCAGATGGGCATTCAAATCCCTTTCTGCAACCAGCTTCCCTTCTGGCACACCAGGAAGAAAGGATGTGCAGGCCAAGCGTGGCACTCAGTCATCCCCACAACTCTCCCGGGAGAAGAATCCCCCCCCCCAAAAAAAACCTCATGTCCTTGCTCAGACAATTGTTCTGGTCCCAATGGGGTGGGGGGAAGCGCCCACCTTTTTGCAAGGTGACGGGAACTGGAACATCAGGACATGCAACAGGAAAAAACATATCTGCATGTATATGTATTCATTAAAACATTTATACCCTGCCTTTCCTCGCGGTTCAAGGCAGCTTACAATAATCTCTGTCATCTCCTTAATAATTTATTGGGGGGGGGGAGAGAACAGTTTGAGTCTCAGCGAAGAGCAATGGTGAATCTGCCTTATGAACGCAGTTTTGGGTGGTGGAGGTGTGACAGATTAATGGAATTGCCAGTTCTCTCAGTCTAGCTGGGCTCCTGTGCCCTTGACAGCTGAGCCGACAGACAGAAGAGTGGCAGGCAGATGTTCCCTATCAGTGCATGCCCCTGACAGGTGGAGCTTCACTAGTCAAGTTGTTGAGCAGCTTGCCGTGGTTGGTGCAGGAGCTCTGGTACAGCAAGAAAGTTGGCGCCCCTCCGTAGAATATTATCAGCATATAGTCAGATGGGGGGATGTCACAGTTCTGAGAGAATAGAGTTTAACAGGAAAACTGGACCTTTGATGTCCTCTGATACTGCTTAATAAAAATCACAGAAGTGTCCTGACAGGCACATCCTAATAGGGATGGGCATGACCCGGGGAAATGGAGGTTCGGCCCAGTTCATGGGGTCTCACAAACATTCCTGTTTACCGAACTGGTTCGTTTCCTGAGGTTCGTGACGTGGTGGAGTGCCCCCCGTGGGCTAGAGACACCAAACTCACAGCGAGTTTCCAGCTGACTCTCCTATACCTGCCCTCCAAGTTTGGTGAGGATTGAATTGGGGGGGGGGAGTTACAGCCCCCCCAAAGGAGATGCCCCCGCCCCGCAAGCTAGAGACATCAAACTCATGGAGGACTTCCCCGGGATGTCCCTCTACAAGTGGGGGGGGGAGGTCTAGCATGGGAGGGGGTTGGCAAGTTGGAAAAAAAGGTAGCTGATGATACCAATGCCGGTGGGTGGGTGCCCAGAGGCACAGAAGTCTAGGGTCCTAAGTAAAATGGGGGGGGTTCCTAGTGTGTGGGGGGTGGCAAGTTGGAAAACCAAGTTGATGGGCAGGTAGTGCAAGGACAGCTGGTGATGCCAAGTCCACCCCCCACCCCCACCCCCATTGCTTTGACAATTAATTGATCGGTGTCAGCGTGTCCGGCTCACAATCCCCGCCATGAACCTAACAAACTTCCATGAAAAACATGGCAGTTTGTGGGTGACACAATCTCATGAACTGGCCATGTTTGTAACAAAATGAGGTTCATGACGGGGTTTATGCCCATCCCTAATTCCTAACTGTTGGGAGCGTTTGTATCATTTAACCAGCAACCCAACCTGTCTGTCAACTGTGTATTAATACACAAGGTTTTAACTGGGATTAAGAGTCTTCTCTCCATATCCGTGTGCAAAGCTTGGCTCAAAGTTATTCCCTGCTATTTATTTGTTTGTTTATGTATGGATCACCCAGTCCCCGAGTTCACAGGGCTCTGGGCGATGTACAAGAGTAAATAAAATACAATATAAACATAATTAGGCTGAAAAGCTGATTTTTAAGTCCCCCAAAGTCACAAAAACCTGCTGAATCCATCGCGTGCTCACCCTTCTGAGGCTGCCTGCTCTCCTTTGGGGCTGATTTGCACGCAGTTCCAGTCTGCCAAGCAGAAATGAGATATAAACCTCAGCAGGCACATCTGCCCACTGTCCTGTGACCATATCTTGTTGGCATCCCTGTTAGTGAATGGGGACAGTTGTACTTAACACCCCATCCAGCAGATATTCTGACTGTTATTCATAAATGATTTGGCCAGTAGGGATGTCCACCAGTGATGGTTAGCTTTGAGTGAATGAGGAAGTGTGTGCCCGCCATTACAGAAGGTTGAGAGAGGTGTGGATGTCTCTGGCCTGTTAATACCTGCAACATTGCCTTTCCTACTGACCAGCTGGGATTTGGGCACTGGGTGAATATTTCCACTTCTATAGCCCATGTTCTACCAAGCACCAACGTTTTTTCTTTGTTTTTTAGTTGAGGCCAAGCTCAAATTTGCCTGTGTCTTTACAAAGTTTTACATCTGCGCTAATGCTTGCAGTGATTCTGCTGAATCTGTACAAAATGCATTGTAATTTCAGCCAGGTTTCTCTCTCCCTGCTTTCCTTGTGAGCCATTTCTCCAATGTCCTGTCCCCTTCTTTGCAGCTGATTCTTCCTGAATGCATGAAGCTGCTCCCTGTATATCTGAACTGTGTTTTGAAAAGCGACGTTCTGCAGCCTGGATCAGAGATCACCACTGATGACCGCGCCTACATCCGCCAGCTGGTCACCACCATGGATGTGGCAGAAACAAATGTTTTCTTTTACCCCAGACTCTTGCCTCTGGTAAGTCCCTCTCTGCAAAGGAAGCTTTCAGTTGCCTTAAACATATAAGCCGGTGGAGTAAAATGAAGTTAAGAGAATTGGTTGAGGCCGTTTTGTCTAATTAGTTTGAGGAAGTAAAAGGTAAACACTTTCTGTGTTGGTAGTCTCACAAATAACGTTTGGGTTTATGTCAGTCTGTTTATTGCATCAGCAAATAAAGCCATAGCAGCAACAAGAAATTTCCAGACAAAGGAGCTATTTAGGGCAATAGATGAGCCTTTGATATTAGATGGGCCTTTAAGAACTGTACTATGCCAAATTTGGAGTTCCAGAATGAGATCCTGCCATCCAGTTAAACATTCAGACAAATCTGATGGGACCGTAGCACTAATTGGTTAGTATTTAACACACCAAGAGCCTCTTGTAGTTGCTGTTCAGTAGAGAAGCATACCGGGGTGGGTGGTGGGTGGGATGGGATTAATGGCTTCACTGATAAGCAGTTACTGCAGTTAAACTTTGTCACGGCATCAATAAGATGGTCCAGCTTACTGAGGATGGAGTTCAGCTGGCTAAACTCATTGCCCTGGCGGTCAGGCAAGAAAATTCAGCCACATCAGCCCCCTCCTTCCCCCATGAACCCCCGAGGAACCCCCACCCGAGACTGGCCCGTTCGAGCCCCAGCGCAGTGACCTCCGGAACAGTACCAGCCAAAAGTGTCTCGGTTTCAAGGACTACATCCAGAATAAAAAACCTGTCAGAGGCAAGAACACTGAACTCAGGAGAATCAGGCAAGATTAGAAAATCAGTTCTATTTTGTTTGGAATTCTGGGTCGGCATAGACTCGGTCCTTTCTCTTGGTCACTTGTGTGCCCCCATTGGCTCCTCCTCCCAGTAAAAAAGAAAGTTGAGACTAGTTCAAGGCAAGCTGGGCTCAGGTGAGTCATTTTTCTACCATTCAAGAAGTTAACTCTCAAAGCAGACAGGACATTTCAGTCACTCTCAAGATCCTTACTTCCGTTCTCTTCAGAAACCCACAGTGTGGTGCTTCAGGCAGTAGAGGACTCCACGTGGGCAGATCACTCAGGAATCTGTGCTGACACAGAGGCAGAAGGGGCTGCCCAGGAGACGGCCAGTGGCCGATGCGGCATCTCTGTCGTAGCCAGGAATACCCAGAGGAGTGAAGTTCCTCCGGACTGGGCTAGATTTCCAAGTCCAGAACTCAGGGAGAATTAAAGAGGGAGTTGGGGTGTGCCAGATGGACCAAACAACTCCAGTTTGGCCACACAGGTTTCCTTTTCTCCTTTTCACCCCATCTCAGCTTCCAACAATCACATTAGCAATGCCGGCAACTTTCGCATTCCCAGAGGAGAAACAGCAGGGAAACAGGTGGTGGTGGGGATGAGAATGAGGATACCACTGGCAGCGCCTGAGGAATAAATCATAGCTGCGCCGTGCCTAGAGCAAATGCCCAGAGATGAGCACAACTAATTTCGTAATTCTTCTCGGAGTCCATGCACGGTTTCTCGCTTGCCCACAAATTCCAGTCCATGGAGAAAAGTAGTCACCGAAGAGTGGGAGGCTGAATCAGGGAACCCCTGGATCTTTACAGACTAGGAAAGACTGTAACTCTCTCCCGGAAGGCTTCGGTACTTTATCAAAATTCGGTGCTCAGAGTATAATAGATACCTTGACGCCATAATACAGGGTGGAGCGTCGTGACGATGCGTCTGCCATCTCGGCCCCTCCCAGTTGGGGAGATCTAATGTAGCTAAACAGCAGCCGAGAGGGTGCGCGGTTTGTTTTTTGTTAAGCGAAGGGCCCGATGAGACATGACCGGGATGGGGGAGGCTCCCTAAGTCAGTTATTCAAGATTCACACCTAAAGGGATTGGGGAGGGGGCTGCTTTTTAAAGCAATAATGAAGCATGTAGGCAAGGAGAAAGGTGGACTCTAAATGAGGTCAAGAACCAGGCGTAAAGGATGAAGAACCATTCTGTGAATGGCACAGGCGGTTGTGCCGGGGGCACGTGAGCTCATCCTGGTACCTTTTGCAGATGTTTTCCAGGGCGTTGTAAAGGGAAGTAGAAGGGTGCACACATGCCTCGGTGCTTGAGGAAATGCGGAGTTTTTGGGGTATTGAGGGCAGATTTCTGAAGGGGAAGGTGCATTCTGAATGCATGTGCTACCAGGTTGTGGTATGCCTGTTCTCTCCCCCCCACCCCCGGCACTTGCATGGCCACCCAGACTCTGCTCCTGAACATCTGGATGGGGCTGGATGGTTACCACAGAGCAGACTGAAACGGAATCCATCGAAGATGGAGGTTCTGGAGCTGGATCGTTGGGGGGGGACTGGGGTTGGGTATTAGGCTCCCGACCTTTGACGGGGCCCCGTTGGTGCTCGCATCTATGGTGAAGAGTCTAGGGGTGTTGTTCCTGGATGCCTCACTGACTATGGAGGCCCAGGTCACCACCACTGCCAGGTCTGCCTTCTTTCATCCGAGGTAGATCCAGCAGTTGACCCCCATCCCTCACCTCCCACAATCTGGCTGTGGTGACCCGTGCAGTGGTCACTTCCAGACTAGACGGTTGTAACTCTCTGCACGTGGGGCTTCCTTTGACTCTGCTCCAGAAATTGCAGCTAGTGCAGAACATGGCAGCACAGGTGTTGATGTTGTTGCCTGTGCGGGCACACATCTACCCGGTGCTGCGTGACCTGCAATGGCTGCCTATTGAATACCAGAACTGGTCCAAGGTATTGGTGCTTACCTTTAAAGCCCTATACGGCCAGGGGCCTGCATATTTTTGAGACCGCCTCTCCCCATATGAGCCCTGTAGAACATTGTCTTCTCAGCCCTGTCCCCTGCCTGGTGGAACGAGCTGCCTTGCAAGATCAGGGCCCTGCGAGACCTGTGACAATTCCGCAGGGCCTGCAAGATGGAGCTCTTTCGTCGGGCCTTTAGTTGAGGCAGCAGCGGGCATCCACTTGATTGGCCTCCCCTCCAGTGTCCACAGATCCATGAAGCCGGACTGGGACCACCGTGTTTTTCTTGTTGAGGCATTGCTGTTTTAGTATGTGATGATTTTATTGATGTTACAGATTTTAAATGTAAAACTGCATAAATTTCAGACCTACATGTTGGAACTCACTCTGAGCCTACAAGTGTCGGTAGGGTGGGATATACGTTGAATAAAATAAATAAAATAGTTGAAATCTGTTTCAGCGTCTGGACTGCATCCCCTCAACAGAGGGAAGTGGCTTTTCTTTTTTTCCAAATGGCAAAGCTAGAAACTTTTCTCTAATGAAACCTGGGACTCTGAAGATTCAGCACCATTTGTCAGATTTTGCCACTTTCTTTCTGATGTAGTGGATATTTAGGGAGATTCTGTTGATGCTCATGTATACTCTGCAAAGTAATGACTCCAGTCTTTTCTTTTCAGACCAAAGTAGATGTCAACAGTGACTCCTTACCGACAGCTATCAGAAACTCCGAAGAGCGCCTCTCCAAGGGTGACATAT